AACGCGCTGCTAATCCGTTTAAGCCACACCGCGGCCTCGTCCCGATTCAGCTTCTCTCGAGGGGTTCGTGGTTCCAGTCGCTGATTCCAGTCAAATTCTAAACGCATTTCGTAACCATAGTCAATCATTGATGGCGACAATCCTGTAGATTCATTTGGAATAGCTGCCGCAGCAGCATCTAGAGCGGGAAGCAGCTCCGCCCAATCGTCTTGGTGGAAATTGACAAATGGTCGCAGTCGCTGGTCAATGATCTGGTTAATAATTTCGGTCTGGCCGTCTGTCTGCGGATGTTCTGCCGTAGATAGCTTGAGTTTGACGCGCGCTAACCTTGACAACTCATCCATGAAATCCGAAATGAATTGCGGACCGCGGTCGCTGGTAATGGTCTTCGGTGCGCCACGGAATCGCCAGACATAACGGTAGAACAAGTCTGCAGCAGTCTTTGCTGTAGCACTTTTAGTGGTGGGGATGGAGATTTGGCGTTTAGACAATCTATCAACAGCTACCCAAATGTTATTAAACCCTCGTTTGTCTGGTACCCCCACATCGTGAAAATCCATCGATATATCATCCCATGTACGTTCTGGAATGGCTAAAGGCTGTAGTAAGCCCGGTGTCTTGTCTCTAGGCTTATGCGATCGTCGGCAGACATGGCAGTTCTGCACATAACGCTCGATGTCTGCTGCGTATCGTGGCCACCAGTACCGGTCGCCGATTAGTTTCCTCATTTTGTTTCGTCCTGGATGAGCGGTGGATGTAGATTCGTGGATCATCTTCAACACTTGAGTACGGAGATTTTCTTTGGCTGACACCACCACGCGTCCCTTATGAAGCACCAACCCGGTAGGTTCCAAAGAATAAGGTTCTTCCCGCTGTCGTGCTTGCTGGCGTAGATCCTCGAGATCGGGATCTGCTCGGTTGGCCATAAAAATACGATCAATAGTATCCAGATCCTCGTCGATGGGCGCTAACACCTTGCTGTCATGTGGCAACGTAACTTTCTTTTGAGGGAGGAGGATTTTCGTACGTTCCAGTTCTTTTGCAGCTTTTTGTGTAGGGGTAAGTTCTTTCTTGCGAGATAACGCGTCTGCCAGAATATTTTCCTTGCCTGGTCGGTACTGAAGGTCGAAACTGAATTGCGATAGCACCTCTGACCATCGGATTTGCCTATCGTTGAGTAGCTGCTTCTGACCAAAGTATTCCAGAACTCGGTGATCAGTCAGAATCACGAACGGCTCCCAGGTGCTGGTGAGCTCTGCGCGCCATTCTTTCAAGCATTGGATGATAGCCAACAGCTCCTTATCATGGATCTCATAGTTTGCCTCCGGACCAGTCAAGGTTCGGGAGTGAAAAGCCACAGGATGCCACACGCCTTCCTCCTGCAATTGACTGAGTACTCCTCCTGTTGCTAGATCAGAACAATCGGTCTCTATACGTGTAGGCTTCTTCTGATCGAAGTACAGTAAAATGGGTGGGCTGACCAATTTCTCTTTTAGGGCAAGGAACGCTTCTTCAGCTTGCTCGGTCCATTGGAACAACTGGCCTTTTGGGATTGCTGTCAGGTTGTACAGTGGCTTAGCGATCCGGGAGAAATTCTCTATAAAGTTACGGTAATAGTTGCAGAACCCCAAGAAGGATTGAATGGCAGTCTTGCTAGTAGGTCTCTCCCATGCGCGAATACTTTCCAGCTTCTTCGGGTCTGGCAGGAGTCCGGAAGTGTTAACAATGAAGCCCAGAAAATTAACGGATTTTTGATTAAAGCGGCACTTCTTAATATCCACCTGCAGTCCAGCCCTGTCCAAACGCTGAAGGACCTCGCGAACTTCTGCCACGTGTTTACTTTTATCTTCAGAGTGGACGCATACATCATCCATATATGCGGAAACGTAACGAGCGAGCAGATCGCCTAGGACCGAATTGATATATCTTTGGAAAGTGGCCGGGCCACCTGACAGACCAAAAGGTAACACGCGGTAACGGTATTGACCGAATCGAGTACGAAACGTAGTCCATCCCACGGAGTCTGGATGCATCCGGATACGGTTGAACGCATGGATGACATCTAGAATGGTGAATTTCTTAGAACCAGCCATCTTGGCTAATGTCTCACCAATGAGGGGCAGAGGATAGCGATCTTTCCGCGTGTGTGCGTTTAATTTCCGGTAGTCTACACAAAATCGAAGGTCTCCATTCTTTTTCTTGACAAACAAGACCGGGGAATTGAACGGAGAATCGCTGGGTTCGATGAACCCGTTCGCCAGGTTCTCCTCGATGTAAGCATGTACGGTATCTAGCTCTTTCTGATTCATTTTATAGAGGGGAGCTTGCTTGAGCTCAGGCTCGCTATCCAGATTGATCTTATGGTCGAACTCCCTATGCGGCGGCAATTCCTTTGCGCGTCTTTTGGAGAAGACATGGGCAAGATCGTGATATTCAGGAGGTAATTGGGCCAACAATTGTGTCTTCTCTTCTTCTTCAGCGAGCTCCGCAATGTGCGCAATCTCTGTACCGTCGCAAGCGGTTTCCATTTCTACGAACCAGCATTGGTCTTCCGCTTCAATTGTCTCAACCTCGACGGCTGAAAGCGTAGGTGTGTCCATTTCGTCTAGACCCAGATCCTCCTTTTTCTTATCGTAGGCTTCTTGTCGCTCCTGCAGTGTAGGCCGGGGAGTCAGAATAATTGAAGGGGTCGCCGGCGCTTCTGCTACCATTGCAGGGCGTTTCAATATCTGCTTTGGCATAAAATGTGGAGATCTTTTAGCAGGAGGTTTGTTGATTTCTAGAGGGGGCAGTTCAATCAGTCGGTCACGACGGTTAGCGTCCCACTGATGATCATTGCGGTCTTCTGGCCACCACAGCCGGTGTCGCACGCAATCTGGGAGTACGTTATGATAGGCCAGCCACTGCCGACCGAGGATCACATTGTTCTTGTTACCAAGTGTGGTAGCAAAGAACGGCATGTTGACTCGGTGCGAGTCTATAGTCAGTGTCATCACGTAGGCGTGGCGTAGAGGTCGGGATGATCCGCCGTCGAAGCCTCTGATAGAGAGTGGATGACGGAGATTGTAGCGCGTCATCTTAATCTTACTATTTCGGTACCAATCACGCAGTTGTTTACGATCTGCGAAGGCATATCCATTAGCGCCGGTATCAATGAGGGCAGAGATTGGAAATTGGGAATTGTTTTTAGTTTCAAGAGTACAATCTATAACTAATGGCCTTCCGCCAAACAAATTTTCCAAATCAATGCCATTTACTCGATACGTGTTATTCTCTAGGAAGGCGACTTCTCCTAGAGACAATCTTTTCCCTCATCGGAGCTCATGGTGAATTCCGATCCAGATGCTTCAGCTTCCTCCTTCTTCTTCGCATCCACCTCATTGACTTTAGCAGTAGGACACGCGTTAGCGTAGTGACCAGTCTTGTGGCAATGGAAGCAGACACCAGCGTTTCGGGCCAAGACTTTTGGCTTGGGTGGACCAGACGCTCTTGGAGGTGCAGTACGAGTTAGGCCCGGCGGGAGAATTGGCTTCTTGTACCTGTCCTTGCGTTGTTGGTAGCGAGCGGCTTGATCCTCCGATTTGCGCGCTAATTGCAGGTGTGGTTCTATTTTCAAGCAGTGTTGAGACATCTCCAAGGTAGATTCAAAATCCAATCCGGCTATGACATTTTGCAACTTGGGACTCATCTTTTCGCGAAGTTCATCCATGCGGTCTTCGTCTCTAAGTTGCAATTGAGAAGCGAAGGTCAGGAACTTAGTGAAGAAGGCTGAGAAGCTGTCATCCCCTTGTCGGAGTTTCTTGAAGTTGGCACGAGCTTCGGAGCGCTTCTGTCCTCGGGTCTTGCCGTAGGCTCCTCGCATAACTTCGACGATAGACATCGCAACAGTGATGTGGTTGACGCTTTCTGGCTCGAGGTAGGGTTTTATGAATTCCTGTGCATCACCACCAATAAAGCCCAAGAGGTAATTGATCTTGTGGTTTTCATCATCAAAGTAGATCGAGTCGCCGTTCAACTTGCGCTTAACAGCGTGTTCCCAGTTCTCGAAAGTAGGATTATGGGAACCCATGAAGGTGGGTGGGTTCTCAATCTTCTGGCGGTGGCGGAGTTGCTTAGCCTGTGGGTCACGGACCTCTTTGTATCTTGGTGGTATCTCTGAGGCCTCACAGCCGGCAGCGTCTTTCTCAACAGTGTTATAGGCTGCAGATCCTCGCACCGACTTGGATTCCTCCTTCTGCTTACCCTTATCCTTGGCCTTGAGATCTAGAGTGACCTCTGCGAATGCAGCCTTCCAGCGCTCAGCTTCCTCCGCCCAGGATTGTGCCATTTTCTCTGCCTCTGCCTTCTGCTCCAATGTATCTCGAAGGTAGTTGCTGATGTTGTTGGCGCGATCAGCCAGGGCGGTACACATAGTCTTAAGGGTATGTTCGTGACGTTCTTGATCAGTCTCCTTCTTGACTTCAGCAGCGCGGCGTTTGTTTCTCTTGTTGTAATCCTTGTCCAACAATTCAAAAGTGACTTTCTGATACCATGGAACATCAATCTTCGTAGTGAGGTCCTCCTCTTCCCCGGGTGCGCGGGTGGCGTACACCGAGGTTGTGAAGTCTTCCTTCGGCCACTCTCCTGGCATCTTCTGCTTTCCTTTATTAGCGAGACAATTAGCCAATGACTGTCCAGATAATCGTGAGCGAAACGCTGTCCACAGATTACTGAGTCTGAAATTAGTATTTTACCTCTCTACAGAGGTCGCGTTGAGTAGTTTAGGGAGCTTAGTATTATGTCACGGCGTAGAATAGGCACAAGTGAAAGTACAGCTTGTATGGCGATAATTCAATCTGTGAAGCAAATACTAAGCTGGAGAAGAATAGAAAAGAACAGGATCTCATTACAAAAAGCCCTGAGGCTATTCCTATTCGGGCGGGTTTCCACTAAATCGCCGCGTCCGTGCTCCTTCCTGCATCAGCCATCAGTCTCACATCCTCCCTCCACGTAATTGTATATCATGGCGGAGCAGAATGCCGTGCCGTGACAGCATCCTGATTTCTACCCAAGGTCCTAGTGGGAAGTTTGTATGGTGATAATTTCGCTTTTATTCGTTGGATGGCATTTTTCGAATTACCAAAGAATCCTGCGAGTCGCGAGGATAGTGGGCTTGCCCGGTGTTTGGATAAGGAACTGTGACCACTATGCTGCCTCGTGGGCAATATCTGCAGATTATACTCACCTAGAACATAACATACAGATTTCACATTGATATTCTCGTTCCCGATTCTTGAATCTAAGATCCATTCACGTACATTCATTCCAATGAAAAAAACCCTCAAATGACCAAGACTCCAGGCGAGAATGTACTGCTTATGATGCTCATATACCATGAAAATCTCATTAGACGAGAGCATGTCTACTTGTGGGTTAATAAGCTTGGTCAAAGCTCGACGGAGAGAGTATCCATCATGACGTCAAATATTATCACGTGTTCTAATGTTAACGATTACTCTTGTATAACTTATGTAGATGATGGAAGACGTAGAGGAACACATATACATTTTCGAATAACCAACCTGACATTTGTCGACCCTTGTGATATCACATTGTAAGACCTTCCAACACTGATCAGTGATTGCACAAGGCAATCACAGACTGGCAAGGAAGAAGAGACAGATCAATTCCTGAAGACCTCCCTGGCTTGACCATACTCTCGAGAAGGAATTTCTGTGCTACAGCCCTCAACGTTATTCAGACCTCCCTGGCTCGACCATACTCTCTGAAGACACGTAAGGAAGATCAAGGCTATAAATCAAGGCTTCTGATTCATTTCAAACTTTTGATTAAAGCCAAGATACGCGTCCTACCACGCAACTATCAGTTTTGTACAAATTATCTAATATAATGGCGAACGACACTCCCAAAGTCCCTGCAATTCCTACATGTACTCTAAATGATATCCTAACTGCAGGCACACTCAATATAAGCCCTGTCGCATGGCAGCAAATCGACCCGAGTCTCTGGTTTACCCCCGTCTCTGACAACCCGACTGAAGTTCATGTCACAACGTGGGTTGCACGGCAATTACAAGACTACACATATGGAAACTTGGTTGGAGATGATTTGTTCTATGCTTTTCAAGAGGACTTTGCAACCTGGACGGAAATGAATTTTGATAAGATAAATCAGCCATTTAAGAGAGAACTTAAGCTCCTCCTCCGCGAGCGAGGTATCTATACTGGCAAGAATAATGGTCCTATCGGACGACAACTTGCGAACTTGCTTAAAATAGAGTCATGCCCTGAATGGCCCGTGGATGAGCGTTGCCCAAACCCTCATGAAAGATTTGTCACATACAAACCGGAAGCAAAGCAAGAGGATACAAAAGTTTTGTTGCAAGGAACTTCTTTTCTTGATTCAAATGCCTCTCAACAGAAAGAAAAATTACAAGGATCAGTCACCTCGAACCTTTACAAAAATGAGCAACCACCTAGGCAATCACAAGCCGGAACGTCAACCATGTTATAGAATCCTTACATCACATTACCACCAGAACCAACTGTAAATGAAGATTTAGATCCCCATGTGCTAACCCAATTCGCTAAGCTATGGGATAAAGGAAAAATGTATTCAGGCGAGCCGTATGATATACTTGATGACAAGCTTCGAATTTTCCTGAACATTTGTAAATTTTTGAAAATCCGACCCGGTCAATTCCACGCAGCATTTCCAAGGATTTTAAAAGGTCGGGCTGAAACGTACTACCTTCATTACATCGGCCCGGAAGCGAACTTTGCGTTGGCCTATATGAAACTTAAGGCGCATTTCGATACAGAAATCAACCATAATACGTACTACACAGACTGGACTACAACAACTTTTCATAAAGTTCGCCGAGAAAATAGTGAAAAGTCTTTACAAGAAGTACTCCAGATATTAATTGACAAGCTTGAACTTTGCCAACGCGCCCTTGGTCCGAACTATATTGGAGAAGAAGTGCTACGTACCGCCGTCATTATGGCATGTCGTGGTGTTCCTGAACTTAAGAACGCCTTATTCAAACCAGCAAAATACTGTGAAGAACTTTACTCGGACCTGCGATCATCAATCGAGACCTCTTTGAACGATGTCCCTCCACGCCAATTTATGACCGATAATCAGGAGGATAACGACCAATACTATCTTGACCGACGCTATAACAACAATCGGCAAGGGATGTATAAGAAAAATAACCGAGGGAACTATGATCAGGATGATTCCCGGCGGAGCAAATTCAGACAGGAAAACCTTGACTGTAATACGAGAAGTAATCCCACCTGGAAAAAGAAATGTTTTATTTGTGGTAAAGAGGGGTGTTGGTCTACAAAACATCCAAATGATGAACGTCGTCGAGCACGAACTCGTTACCTCGCCCATTGTCATTATACAGGCGACATTTCAAACGACTTCGCAACTTACCTTGTCGGCTACGAAGGGCACGAAATGGCTGTTCAACAAGATGAAACCCCCAATGACTTTGAAGATGAAACTTATGCAGCCGAAACAGCAAACTATCTAATGAATCAAGCATATCTTCACCAACTTACAGGAACTAATGTCTTTAAAGAGCAAATAGACGCCCCGGCCAACCAGTTTTTTATTGAAGACCGTTACTCAAGAACTGTTTTCCAAGGTATTCTACCTGATACTGGCGCTGCCCAGGTTTCAACGGCAGGATTAGAGCAATACCTCGCACTGCAGCGAGTTGAATCATCTGTGCAACTTGACAAATCAACAGCTGGCCGAGCATCAGTCTGTTTTGGCAAAGGATCAATAGTCAACTCAATTGGCTCTACAGTGGTTAGGACACCAATCGGAGAAATAACTTTCCATGTTCTCGATACTCCAACACCATTCTTGTTATGTCTCGCCGACATGGACCGAATGGGTGTATATTTTAATAACATCACGGACGAGATCATCAGAGGAAACACCCGAATCCCGGTAATCCGAAAATGGGGACACCCCTGGTTTTTCCTCAACAGACTCGAAAGCTGTGCAGCGTTTCTTACTGAGATTGAACTTCGTCGATTACACCGCCGGTTTGGCCATCCATCTACGGATCGTCTTTGTCGTTTGTTAAGGAAAGCCGGACATGATGATGTGAACGAAAAATCGCTTGAGACCATAACCAAATTTTGTCACCAGTGTCAAATGCATAGTCCAGCTCCGAGACGATTCAAATTTACCCTGAAAGATGACCGCGAATTCAACCATGAGATCTTTGTTGACGTACTGTATATCATCGAGCGCCATGTGTTGCACGTTATTGACTCAGCAACTTCGTTTCAAGGTGCCCGATTCCTCAAATCTTTATCAAGCAAAGAAACGTGGGAGACACTCCGTATGTTATGGATTGATACATACCAAGGTCCTCCCGATATCATCACAAATGATGCCGGTACCAACTTTGCTTCTTCAGAGTTTAGGAATGAGGCCAAGATCCTTGGGATCACATGTAAACAGGTACCAACCGAGGCTCATTGGTCAATAGGAAAGATAGAACGATACCACGCTCCTCTTCGCCGTGTTTTCGAGATCCTACATGCTGAGCTATATAGTACTACAAGTCCAGAAGCAATACTACAAATGGCAATCAAGGCGATTAACGATACGGCTGGACCAGATGGTCTTGTGCCAACACTTTTGGTTTTTGGCGCATATCCTCGGATGACCGTAGATTCACCACCATCCCCATCAACCTTGAGGCGAACCGAAGCAGTTCAGAAAGCCATGAAAGCCTTGCGGAAACTCAACGCCGACCGACAGATAAATGACGCTCTGAATACTAGAAACGGACCTTCAACTCACGAGATTCTTTCATTGCCTCTACAAAGTGAAGTACGCGTTTGGCGTGAGAAAGATGGCTGGCAAGGTCCCTACAAGATTATCGCGACCAACGGCCATGATGTAACTCTTGACATGGTGAATGGCCCAACAACCTTTAGATCTACGGTGGTTCAACCATACTACCGGAACTCCGGTGAACGTGAAAACTTAGAACCTCAAAATCATCTCGAAGATCAATCCACTAATGATTTTCAGCCTGAAATTCCGATTATGAAGCCTCAGCCACGCAAAAGAGGTCGTCCCTTGGGCTCAATGAACAAGTCGAAGAATGTAAGTGCGGCATACTTGACTAAAAAGGAGGAAGATGACTATGCTCTAGCTATCAAGTTGAGAAACGATGGTGTAATCACGTCACCTGAACCTCCCTTCGAAGAGTCGGATTCAAATGAGATAAATGATCTAATCAGTCGTGGTGTATTCAAATTTGAACTGTTTAATAGCAAGATCCATGGAAACCACCGAATTTTTAAATCACGAATGGTACGTGAGGTTAAAGGCAAAACAACCAAGCCTTATGAAAAGTCTCGCTTGGTAATACAAGGGTACAACGATCAAGCTAAAAGTACCATCCTGACGCAATCACCAACCATCCAGCGAATGAGCCAACGTTTGATCCTTGCTCTCGCCCCCTCATTAATGATGAAAGGAATGATCATCGCAATCAGGGATATCACACAGGCTTACCCTCAATCACATACCAATCTCTCCCGTGTCGTCTTAGCAAGCTTGCCCTCGGAACTTAAAACAAAGTACCCTGAAGGAACTATTATTCGTGTAATTAAGCCTCTGTATGGAATTGCAGAAGCAGGTGTTCACTGGTTCTCTACTTACCAAGGTCACCATAGGAAACTGCTAGACATGTCCACTTCGACATTTGATGAATGTTTTCTCATTACAAATGGAGAAATAGATAAATTTGGTATTGTGGGAATACAGACAGATGATACCCTCATGTTATGCACCAAATCTTTTTCTGCAACAGAGGAGGAGAAACTTACTGAAGCTCAATTCCGAGCAAAACCTAAGGTGATTCTATCGGCCGAAACACCTTTAGAATTCAATGGAGCAAGAATTATCTTTGAAAATGACGCAATTATCGAAATCAGAGGTATATTGAGCAACGTGCCCGAGGAGCGTATATTGCCTCCATATGTCAGCCCGAGGCAGCTTTCGATATGTCGGTAGCAGCACAAGCCAAAGATCCGGACGAAGTGGAATACACTGCTTTAAACCGGCGACTCAAATGGCAAATAAAGAACATACAGCGTGGATTACGTTTCGTTCCAATTAACTTGGCCACGGCTAAGATAATGGTCTTTACGGATGGATCATTTGCTAATAATAAGGACCTCAGCTCACAACTTGGATTTGTATTGATACTTGCTAATGAGGATCAAATCGGATCTAAGACCAAGGTTCGAGGTAACCTTATTCACTGGAGTTCGACAAAGTGTAAACGAGTCACCCGCAGTGTGCTAGCCTCTGAAATCTACGGAATGGTCAATGGCTTTGACATTGGTCTTGCAATCGCATCTTCTTTAAAGATGATAACCGAACGTCTTAATCTTCCTGAAATGCCTCTAGTTATATGCACTGATTCTTACTCGTTATACGAGTGCTTGGTAAAGTTAGGTACTACTAAGGAGAAACGCCTAATGATTGATATTATGGCGCTTAGACAGTCTTATGAACGAAGAGAGGTTGCGGAGATTCGATGGATCAACGGGGAAGATAACCCTGCTGATGCTTTGACAAAAGTGTCACCGAATCGTGCCCTGGAACGATTCATCGATAATAATGAGTTAACGATTCGAATTGAAGGATCGGTAATAAGACCGTAATATTAGTCAGTAAGATATGGCAGACGGGGGCTTTCTATTCAGTGCTAGTTCATAAAGAAAAGATTGCCGGTGTGGGTTAATAAGCTTGGTCAAAGCTCGACGGAGAGAGTATCCATCATGACGTCAAATATTATCACGTGTTCTAATGTTAACGATTACTCTTGTATAACTTATGTAGATGATGGAAGACGTAGAGGAACACATATACATTTTCGAATAACCAACCTGACATTTGTCGACCCTTGTGATATCACATTGTAAGACCTTCCAACACTACTATCTTTAAATCTTTGTGCAATTTTACGCGATATATCGGGTTAGATGAGACCTTTAAATTGAAGTTATGATGGTCCAGTATTGAAAGCCAGCCTATATGAGCAAGGTAAACTATATTCGATAAAGTGCACGATTTCATATCCAAAATTGAGTCAATGAAAAATATATTATTCTGCGGATATTTTTCGAATTCAGCGGTTATAGAGGCCTTGCAGCTGTTTATTGAATTCTCGTCTTGGCCAAAGTAATTTATATCGTCATACGAAATGGGATTTAGTCCATGGGTAATTATGTTTATTATACGATCTTTTTCCAAGGTGGGAGAGCAGTAATAGACATTATATGTGCCATCACTAGTGATTGTGCTATCGCTCATAAAAATATCTGAGCCTAGTGCGGGTGGTGGAAATCTATTTCTATACGGAGGATCGTAGATACCATAAAAGTCGGGGTCGAAGCTGCTCATGATGATCAAGCGATCTGTGATCATGGAGTCCCGTGCTGTTAGTAGGAGGACTGCGATTATGCAGTTCATGATGGCGAATAAGCCCAATAATTCAGCGTATCTCTGAAGTAAGCTTTGTGTAGTTGCCAGTCACTCAAGGTCTGACTGGGGGATGATACCTAGCGGAAGCTTTTACTGATACCGTTTCTGCCACTCGGATAGAGTTTGAGAAGAAGATAAAAGCTTAGAAATGAAGTTATAGTATGAAGTATCCTAAAATTTGAGCCTGAGGGGTAATTTCACGGCCAAGCAATTGTGCTTGGCGAAACTACAATAATCTCGTGGACATGCCATGATTCATGCTGAGGTGGCATATTATTTCAAGACCTGGGCAAGAGAAAATTGAACTAATATGTGTTCTCCTCAGCCACATAGTATGTGTCTGGGAGGGCAAGACTGAACACCTGTACGCGGTGTCCTCTACGAACCTGGGAGTGAAATATTCTCCCAGAGCCAAGTTCAGTCAAATTTCGCAATATCAAAGAAGTTGACCCACGAGGCAAAATTTAAAATTACTCTACCACGTCGTTTTCCCACTCCCAACGAGTTTGACGCCTACCTAAGTCTCATCAAGTCTACAAGTACGACCTAGTACATCCTTATCCCAATGACCACACCTCTCTTCGACCTTCTCTGGTCTCAGTTGACCACCAAATACACGCCCAAGCCGATATTTATACCCGACTGAGGAAGCAAAGCGTGGAGCACAATTTTGGGAGATAGCTCTTTGGGATGGACGTGAGAGGGATCAGGACAAGTTTACAAGATGATGCAAAGGAAGGATATAATCTTGAAGGGAGTGAAATTCCGAATTTTGGCAAGGAGTTTTACGAATTGAGCTTTGTGCGCGCCAAGACTTCGCATGCGAGAGTGCAGCTGACACTATAAAAATAAGCAGACGATGGAAGGTGTGGTGGTCCGCCTCCAGGTGATGTTCTATGGTATGGTTTGAGTAGCCTGGGCACCTACTCCACTTGAGAAAGAGACACCTCAGATCACATATCGCGCGGAGAAGAGTTGATGGATGATGGAGGCATGTCTGGATAACCCAGGGTTTTTGAGACGTTCCCCTGGGTGGGTTTTCACAGATGAGGGTTGACTTGGGGTGAAGAAAAAGCCACCATAACTTCGCAGTGATACTTGCAAATGAAATCTGAGGCATGAGTGCTCTTCCTTTACGTTGAATCATCTATTCTGTACTTTTCTTTGAAATTGTGTCATAGCTAGATAGCTGCATACGCAATTAAAATCTGATGCAAAAAAAAAAAAAGTATGTGTTTGACTTAGTTATGGTATCGTATGATGACGAAGATGACAATTGTTTTCTAAGTCGTGTTAGAGATATAACTTCTATTAGTGAATATATTTGAGTTGTTATGTAAAATAAGGTACAAAATATCTAGAAGATGATCGAGTAAAACTGGTTGTGATATGTGCTCGGTATGATCCCCTTTCCAATCATCCAGATCATGTCCATATATAACCATTTCCATACCCGTTCCTTAGTCTTTTACCCATATTTCTACTAGACCTGGTCTCCATATACAGGTTTAGATCAAATCACACATGACACTAGAAAGATACATATATCTCCTAAATTACAGTGTTCTTATGACTAGACGTACTGTACACGTTTCTTCCCTTGACAGTTATATATTTGTGTTATATTAACTAGGCTATATGGGAGCAGGACGATGGATACTCTTGGGGAAGTTATGCTCACAGTAGGTCTCTATTATCGCTGTCGCGTGTGTTCTCGTGATGTGTAAGACTTGACTCTATATTCTCGTATAAAGGAAACTTAGTTACAAAATGAATGGACGGAGGTTGAGACCTCCTTATATCTTGCTCCAGACTTACTGTGTTGTTCACAGCCTAGTGCTAGAACATTCCCTTATGATATCATTTCTCTCCTACGAGAAATGACCAGCTCGTTCTCTCTCAGTCCATCAGTCTCTCGCTGATTCCGTTATCTCTATTCCATCTAGTTCTAGTTTGGTCCAGTATACCCACACATGCATTACACATGCATTACACACTAAACACCCCACGGTTTAGTTCCACAGTCACGTGCATATGCTATGACGCGACCTAAAGCATGTACCATTGTAACGGCTGTTAAGCCTAATTATCCCTGTAGCCTACGCTAGCTAGCGCAGGCAATGAGATCAATGGTGTAATCCAGAATCTTCTTGGAAGTTGTCGAAGAATCCAAACAATTCTGGTCATGGAGGGAATCCTATGGAAGGAGGAGTATTCTGGATTATATATATTTGTAGTCACTAGCTGTTAGAATTCTCTCTCTAGAGAATTATAATTAATATACTGTACCTACAAGATTGCCCATGCATTTTGTTATGAAACCGTGACATATTATAATTCTCTCCACAAACTTCAGAACCGCAGTCAGTCAGTCAGTCAGTCAGTCAGAATCGCAGTCAGAATCGCAGTCAGTCAGTCAGAATCGCAGTCAGTCAGTCAGTCAGTCAGTCAGTCAGTCAGTCAGTCAGTCAGTCAGTCAGTCAGTCAGTCAGTCAGTCAGTCAGTCAGTCAGTCAGTCAGTCAGTCAGTCAGTCAGTCAGTCAGTCAGTCAGTCAGTCAGTCAGTCAGAATTGCAGTCAATCAGTCAGTCAGAATTGCAGTCAATCAACTTTGCAAAGATGAAGTGGGATCATTGCAACATTTCTATGGAGGAAAACAATTTTCTTAGGGCAACATGGAAATCAGAAGATCAGCTAGCTAAGCTTCGGGAAGAAGGAAGCTGCTTCAGATGTGAGAAACGGGGATGTCAATCTAGGGTGTGCCACCTTCTTCCAGCAATTAATCCACGAAAGACTAAGAAAAGTTTACATATTTATAAAAAAAATATGAAAGAGGATCCGTATGGTGATGGTCTAGGTCCTATTGATCCAGCAGTGTACGAAGTGGATCCGTATGGTGATGGTCTAGGTCCTATTGATCCGGCAGTGTACGAAGTGGATCCGTATGATGATGGTCTAGGTCCTATTGATCCGGCAGTGTACGAATTGGATCCGTATAGCATTTCTCCGAGACTCATAAACCGTCCTATCGAAATTCAGCAAATAAGAGATCGAGGAGAAACAATGGGTTGGTCAGCCAAGAGGTCTGTCATGGGGAGCTGTCTTACAGATCATGAAATGAGAAAGAACACATCGCCACCCCTTATTAATGCCATTACTAGTGATAGACCGATTCAAGAAGAAAGGAAAGATTTTGTGCAGCCAATAATATTGGATAAAAAGTTTTCAAAAAGTTTGACAGCAGCTGAACAAGAACCGAAGATGAATACAAATCCATTTTTAGTTAATGCATTAGTTAACGACGTCACTATGGTGCAAGCATTAATTGACAATGGATGCCTGTGTTCAGGTATCATTGATGAAGAATTAGCAGCCCTACTAAGTTTACCATGTAAACCTATCTCTCCCCGAACCCTTCAGACAGCAGAAAATTCATCTCAAGACAAGCCAATAGTAAAAAGTATCACTTGGGTCTCCATAGACCTTGATGGCTTTGTTACTGAAAAATTGTGGCTGTATGTAGTACCACACAGTACACATCAGATCATACTTGGGAAGAAATGGTTAGAGGACCAGGATGCAGTAATTCATTCCAAAGAGCAGCGGTTGGAACTCAGGAAGAGCGGTGGTTCTGTTTACAGTGTTCGACGCTGGCGTCAAAAACTAAGGGGAATAAAGGAGCCTAAACGTGCTGCTGTTGAGGCATTATCTTTTCTGGAAAAGGGAGTTCCCGTCTGCAAAGCCTCCTTAGACGACATAAATAAGGCACTCCGTACGAAACATTGTCTCAAGATCTCTGATGCTCGAGACCGATTACCGGGCCCTGTGAAGAAGTTCGCGCGCCTCTTTTCTGACGATAGCGGCGCTAATGATCTACCGCCTACACGAGATCACCTTGACCATGCTATAAACCTCCGAAATGAGAATGGGAAGCCAGTCCATCCGCCTTGGGGCCCTCTTTACAGTATGTCAAGAGAGGAGCTTCTAGTGCTTCGCAAAACATTGACAGATCTTCTGGGTAAGGGATGGATCAGACCAAGTAGTTCGCCGGCGGCCTCGCCAGTACTTTTTGCTAGAAAGCCAAACGGAGGGCTACGATTTTGTGTGGATTATCGCGGGCTGAATGCAGTCACTCTTCCAGACAGGTATCCCCTTCCATTATTTAAAGAAACTTTGCGACAACTTTCAAAAGCTAGGTGGTTCACGAAACTAGATGTGAAGTCAGCTTTCCATCGTATCAGAATCAGAGAGGGAGATGAATGGATGACTGCCTTCAGATGTCGCCATGGTCTTTTTGAGTGGCTTGTTACACCATTTGGTCTTGCGAATGCACCTGCAACCTTCCAGCGTTATATTAATGAGCAACTACGAGGACACCTTGATGTTGATGCGACAGCATACATGGATGACGTTCTAGTATACACAAATGGTAGTGAGGCCGATCATTGGAGAACGGTTCAAAGTATCTTGGGAAAGCTAGAGAAGGCTGGTTTGTACTTGGACATTGATAAATGCAATTTTCTATGTCGAGAGGTGAAGTATCTAGGATACATTGTGAGAGCTGGAGACTCGGTGACCGTAGATCCTGACAAGGTCAAGAGCATCATAGAATGGAAGCCACCTACGTCGGTTAAAGGAGTTCGATCGTTTCTCGGCTTTGCAAATTTCTATCGATGCTTTGTTGATAGATTTTCGGAGGTAACTGCACCACTGACCAGATTGACGAAGAAGGATTCAATTTGGAGATGGGGACCTGAGGAGAACGAGGCGTTCGAACGACTAAAGCAAATTTTTTCAACTGAGCCGGTGCTAGCGCAATGGGATCCCGAGCGAGACACAGTGGTGGAAGCCGATTGTTCTGGGTATGCATTGGGTGGATGTTTGTCTCAAGCTGATAAGCAAGGCCGGCTGAGGCCGGTGGCTTACTACTCCAAGCGACTGAGCGGAGCGGAAGCAAATTATCCGATACACGACAAAGAGATGCTGGCC